AATTTTTTTTTTTTTCCCTGTCTTTGGGGAGTGACTATTTTTAACGAAACAAGAAGTCAACTTTGTACTGGGATTTTAAAGCACCGTTGATTTTTATTGAGTTACGCTAAAGAAGTAATAAACACTGCATTCTTTGTCTCTCTTTGCTCTCCTCATACTTTCTGCAGAACTCTAAGCCTTTAGGGTGATTTAAATTCTTCTTGGGCACTTCAGGACTTGCCTCCTGACCAAGGGGGAATCTTTACAGCTCTGAGCTGAGCTTGGTTGATCTCACATGTAAATATCTCCTGCTTCCTTTTTCTTCTATGAAAATGGAAATCTTCCTCGTCTGTTGAATAAAAATCTTAGCTGGGACAGCTGATTCTGTTTATGTGCTGCTGGATCACTCCCCTGCCAGGTTGTGAGCTTGCAGACTTCTTTTAATCTCATCTCTTACAGAAGTGTCAAGGGGTAGAGGGAGCTTTTCCCTATTATTTGCATCTGCTTTCTCTCTCTGATTCCTTGGGGTCTCTCCCAGTTGAGCATAGGGAAGGTTCTCTCAGAGTGCTTTGACTTTATGGGATTTTGTTTAGTTGATTTTTCTCTCAGGGGAAAAAAACAAACCAAAACAAAACCCACACAAAAAGAAGCTCAAATACTGTCTGAATTTATCTTATTGATGGCTTTTTTTTTTTTTTTTCTACTTATCTTTATTAAGGTTTTGCATTTCTTTCATGTATTGCTTTTAGCTGCCTCTCAGTAAATGCCTTATAAATAAAATAAATAACACTTGTAAAAGGGGGTTGGTTTGGTGCAACTTCTAGAAGGCTGATCAGTGTGGATACAGTGGAGGAATCAGACCTGTTCTGGCCAGATGCAGAACCTGAGTGCTCTAATGGGTCTGTTCCCTCTCTAATTCCTGTTACTTCCTCATTAATGACTCCCCGTGACACGTTGGTGCCATGCACAGTCCCATTACCTTGATCTGAGAGGCTGAGCAAAGGATTTTTCAGCATCCCTCAGGTATGATAAAGTCTCCATTGCCGTCTCAGGATAGTTTCTTATCCCCCATTGATTTTAAGGATTGCAACAGCATAGACAACTGGTGCCAAACTCTCAGTTTATGTAAATCAGTGCAGCTCCAACAGCAGTGTTCTCTTCTGAATGTGCCTCACCCTGGAGAACTAGTCTATGTCTTTTTCAAAATTAAGTGTACAAGGCTTTTCAAGTAAGGTACCTTCTTTAACACTGTTTTAACACTGGCTTCACAGCATCTCTCCAGCACAGCTTAACGTGTTGCTCCTTGGCTAGAGTTACTGCTCGCCTGGTCAGAACTGGTAAAGTGAGAGGGATTTTCCACATCCAGCACGGGAACTACACAGATTTTGATAAAGCAATTCTTGGTCAAGTCAAGTTAGATTTATCTCAGAAATAGCTCAGTATCCCCAAGATCCAGGAGACTCAAGTTAGAGCCTCAGTCGTGCTGTTTCTCAGGCAAGAGCCACATCAAATGCCAACCTTTGGCTGTTCCAAAGTGCGTACCTTGTCCTTTTGGGATAACTGACCTTTATGTAAGTTATTATAAATAATATATATAAATATTATGCTGGAATTAGAGTATTAGATAAAATATTAGGATAGGGATTTAAACTTGAGTCATTTTCTCACCTGACTGACAAGCGCTTTCCTCTTCCATTCCTGCCTCAGATTATTTTACCACTACGCGTGTTTTCCAAAATATTTAACAAATGTGAAAGCTCTTGGATTCATGGGGTGTGTGTGTGAAGTCTTGAATAGTTTCGTGCAATAGGAAAACTGCTTCCTACTGCCATCTTCTCCAAAGCAGGCAGTAGCAAAGGAAGGTCTGGTTTTGCATAGATCCTCCTCCCTGTCAGATCTCTCCACTCACTGGCAGAGTAGCTTTCACGTTGAATTTTCCTGATTTTTTTCAGCTCAGGTTATAAAGGTGACTGGGTGCTGCAGCTCTCTTTTCCCGTCTGGAGTTACACACGTAACATTAACACCTTCTTAGAAATTCAGTGTTGTCACAAATGCTTTCTCTACCTTGACTTGTTGCCCGTTCTCCAAGGACCACGCTCTGCTTTGTTCTGAAGGGTTGATCAGCCCAGAAGTGGTTTTAGATGATGGAATATTTTGTCTTTGAAAGGGACAGCATATAGATTGCATGGGAGATTGATTTGTTATGATTGTGGAGGGAGGAGGAGAGAGAGTTATAATATCTGTGAGATCTCTGCAGGATCAATGCTGTTCTCCTAGAGAAGCAAAGGGTTATTCGTGAAAACTTTCGATTTATTCTTTAAAACATAGTGCATCCAGCAAAAGGTAATAATTACTAGCTGAATTATAGACAATTCCTTGAGGCTTTATCTCACTGATTCGCCAAACTCTACACTAAAATCTGTTACTGAGATCTAGCAAGTGGGGTGCAAATCTATGGTGGTATTCAAGCTTGTTTTGAATACTCTTGTCTGGGCACGTTAGTTACTTTTTATGCTGTTTCATGAATTTTGGTGCCAACCCAGAGAAGCCCGAAAGAAAACAGAGGTTTTTGTCTGTCAATGGAAAAATAATTAAGTGTCTTGTTCAAAGCTACAGGCCAAGTCCAAGTCTGCAGAGTCGTTAAAACAAAGGACTCCTTAAATGTCTGTGGAAACAATGGAGCCATGTTTCTGAACTGTTCATTTTTCCTCTCTTAAATACTGAAGTATGACTGATAAGGGGTTAGGAGTTTTTAAAACTGGAAGCATCCTGAGAAAATTCCACATGTAAATATCAAGAATGTAATTTATTGAGCATATTTCACTGTGGGAGATCCTGAAGTGCTTCGCATCCTTGGTACACCAAGTCCAAAAGTGGCGACACACTGTTAATCTGAGAGTGAGTTTAAGACAGTGAACATTCAAGGGCATAAATAGACAACAGTACTCCTAGATTCCTGCTACTTTTTTACACAGACACATACATATTTCTTAAATGTGAAGTCACTGTGTGCTGCAAAACAAACCATGTTTCCAGCTTCCAGATGCTCTAAGGGTATTCTCCTCTCCTGATGGAAAAGTCCAAGAAGCTCATCAGCTCAAACGCAGGAGACAGTCAGAGCAAAGCACTCCATTTCATCTGAGCCAAAATATAGAAAAAAACTTTTGAGTGTTAAAGTCTTGAACAACAAGATGGATGATATCAGAATGGACAAGAGTTTGGGGCTGGAAGAGTCGGAGATCTGTGCAGGGTCCATGGGATGGAGGTTTTCCTGCTGTTACTAGGAGTCATACCCCGTCATGTCGTGGCACATGATACATGGATTCAACATTTTTGAATCCACAGGACCCAGTTTATCCATTTTGGGGTAATGGCTGTTGCTAGATGTTGTCCCTTTTGTCGCATGAGTTACTTGTCCAAACATTACTGCATTGAATACAATGAAGTAATTTTAAAACATAAAATAAAATTAAAAGAGAAATTAATACATGAAAATACTTTTTTTTTTTTTTCTCTTAAAAAGTGTACTGTTTCTTTATCTTTTCTTTCTCTGCTGTTGACAGTGACCTCGCTGGAAAGAAGTCTTCGATCACTGGGGACCTCAAATGATACTCAAGACCTGCAGGATGGACTGTGAGTTTGTTTTGAATTGCTGCAGATCTGTCTTTGTTCCAGCCTTCTCATTTTTTTCCTCACCCATTCTTCTGTCCTGTCC